GTGTATTATAGGAATGCACATCCAAAGAACATGGAGATGAAGAAGTAGGGTGAAGGAGCAGGACTGAATGTGAACAGAACACCGAGGGATTGCTCAAAAAGGAAATAATAAACAAATAAGAAAAATGTCAAAAAGGAGAAGAAACGCTTTAACTGAGGCAAGTGAAAACAAACAAAAAGGTGCTACCCCAGCAGGATGGACGGAGGACTTTTTGGCTGCAAACTCCCGCCCGCACAAAAGAATTGGTCCTTACCCATCTTTAGGCGTTGGCGGCAAACACATTGGTCCCTGGTCCCCAACATTGCGGACTGCTATACAGCGCATAATTCCGCGACCCTTATGTATTTTCTCCAGTAATCGGAATCCATGGGTAAACTCGCGGTGATGAATTTGTTACTTACCTCATCCAGAACATGTAAATCACCACAACGAAAGTAAGGAAATACCCGAAAAAAAATGAAGCGAATCTTCTCTGTGCGCTGGCAACAGTACTAGATGGGCCAAATGTGTGAAAATAGAAAAAAAAATGGAAAGTAATTAATTAAAAAACGCTCAAAAGCACAGACACTTGCTTTCGCTCCTCCCTCAGAGGAAGCATCGTTATTTCACAAACCCCGGGCCAAGCATTAGAGCGCTATACACCACAATTCCCTGCCTTATTGAATAGCGCTGAACAAAACAGTACCACACAAGGAGCAAAAAGCGTCACAAGTAGAGGGAAAATGGCAGACCACACAGGATGAAGCAGAGCTTCAGTGAAAGATGGGTTATGTATGATATAGAGGAGATAAAGGAGAATCAGAAGCAAAAAACCTCAGCCAAAGAGGAGAGAAGTTCGCGGAAAGAGATAAGGTACGATATGGAATAATGTAACTGGTAACCGAGGAACAGGGTAAACGCCTCGAACAGGAAAAATCCTGGCGTAAATTGAGCGCCTTTCAACCCAGGGTAGCAGAAGCGGAGGAGCTGGTGGGTGGGCCATTTTGCCAGCTCCGTGGAGGTGTAAATTTATTAATTCTGAAAAAAATAACGGAACGAACGTGGTGAAGCTTGTACAGGTCACCTCGAAGTACTGTAAACTCGAGCAAGCTAAGGCGGCAGTGCCTAATGAAGTTGGCACTATTTAGTAAATTTACAAGGATATACAGGTTTCTCCAAAGCAGCTTGGCAAAGCTTGCTCCATTTCTCTGGTCTCCAAATTGGCAGGCCTAACCAAGGTCAGAAAACGTGAGAGAACTGGAGACACTAGAGAACTCGCAAAATGCCCCTCCCCTTAGGCGGGTTTTTTTGAGATACAAGGCTTCCGTTGACCAGGTATTCCCTCGCTATGAGGGTCCACACGTATTTTCACCCGAACGTTTCGAAGGGAAGAAAATGAGTAAGAAGGAAGACAGAACGAAGAGGGAAGAAGGAAGACAGAACGAAGATAGGACAAGAAGGAAAGAAGAAGGAAAACAAAGGGGCGCGGTTGACGGATATTCTGAGGCCTTTTGGTGGAGTCTTATAAATAAAACAAATTATTTATTAAAATAAACGGATAAGTAATGAATAAAGTGCAAAAGTTGAACACACCTTGTATGCCTTATTACTTTTATCGAGAGCATCTGCGCAGGCATATCCTAAAGCTACGACGTATGTTGCTCGTACGGCATTAACTGGAAGCATCGACCGGAATGCTTCTCCAATTTCATTAGCATAACCTGAAATAAAAGAAGATTTGAAGGCCTAGTAAAAAAATCATGAAAAGCTACTACAGAATTCAAAAAAGTGCAAATGGTACAAATTTACCTAAATACCTTATTGGAGTATCCCTGTAGAGATCGATTTGACGTAGATCGGACTTCAATAATTCGAATTCGTCATCGCATTTTTTTAACGATGACATTTCTGAAAGTAAAGCTAGACAGAAAGTGATGGATGACACAAATATCAAAGCAAAACTGGTCTGTGGTTTTGAACACAGGGAAAAATTGCCATTGACTGGTATAGAGCAGCGGCTGCGTCGCGGCGGCATGGAATCGAGCATGCCAAGTGGCAGTCATTGGGATAGAAACCCAATGACGCCTTGCGAACTTTACAAAAGCACCGGTTATGATTTACTTATCGTTAGATTCTATACAATTAAACTGACGGTTTAAAGGAGAAATGATCAGCTAACACTCAAAAGACTTCCATAGTGTAAGGCCGTGGTGCCGGGAGACTTCCTAAATCATTATACTTTCGATGTGAACATTCACAAGCTCAATGTTGAAGCATGAAGATTCGGTGGAAAATCTGTTTTGAAATTTCAAAAGATCTGAAAGTAACTGCAGGGTTCATGAAGTTTCATGAATACTTTCCGGACTAGAAGCTCTCCAACGAGAAAGAGGGGAAATAGTGTTTTTTCTTGTGAAATAAAAAATGGACAGAACAGACAAGCGGACAGTACAGACATCGGTGACAACTAAAACTTTCACAGGGTCCTGCTGAGAAAGGCCAGAGCGCAGAGCAATAAAGAACTGCGGCAGCCAAGGCACCGAAAGGTTCAAAAAAAACTTGTCGCGAGCCAAGAGATGACTTTTTTTCGGAGGGAGCTACACCGGGTAACTGAGCCACCTAAACATCGTGATAAGTTGGATATAATGAAAGGTTCAGTTGGCGTCACAAAGCCAACAGAACTGAAGCGCAGAAGAAAACAGAATTGGCGGCCGTTAAAAGGGATTGAGCTCTATTTTGTCCTGTTAACTGTTTCTACAGCGTCGACAGAGGGCAGAAAGAGGAGTAACTGCAAAAGCGGAGAGGGTCAAGATGAAAGTGAGATCAGGACGTATATACAATAAGAAAAACAGTCGCCGTGGAATACGCAGCAAGGCCTCTTGCTGCTTTTCCGATATGGAGTATTGCTAGTACAGCTCAGGGCACTTCGTAAGTTGGAAATCCTCAGTGAAGGGGTAGTATTTCGACACTGGAAGGGGTGAGGTGTACTTGCCTTCGTGAGAAGTGTAAGTTGTTTTTGGTTGTTGCCTTTTCTACTCAGTTGTTCTCCCGTTCGACCTGTCTTATGTACTCCTATTTTCCAGGGAAAAGATAAAGCTAGAGAAATTTTGGAATAAGTGAACTGGGAAAAATTAATTCGGGCGAGTCTTGGAAGTGTACACTTTAAAATCACTGCAATTGTCGGGTCGCAATCATCGGTTCTCAGCTGCGGCTCTTCCATCATTGGTTATTTCCTTCCTGAATCGATCTCTACCCGATCGTCACTGGTAGAGCAAGGGAGCCGAACGCGGACTCGAACCGCGCTGCTCACGCCACCTCCGACAGTCCGCAACGATGAGGACTGTAGGTACCTCCGTAACCTAGAGAAGGAGAGTCTGTGGCTGCGCACTTTATGTAAACGCCGCGGCAGCTGCGCTCCTGGAGGGATATTGCAATTTCAGATTAGTTCTTATCATGACTTTGTACAGTACAATAGGGTACAGCACTTTTATCAAATTGAAAAATCTCACGAACAACGCCATATTCAAGGTAAATTATGCAGTCACGCCTACTCCATCGCTGGGATTTGTAGTATATTAGGTTGTCGCATAAGTTCTTATACACGACTTTTTGTATAAATATCTCAAAAATCGATACCAAGCCTGGAGATAGAGTATGCATCCAACACCATTCACTACTCGACGCCAGCGCTCAGGCAGCTTGTCGATTCCATCCTTCCAGAACGACGGAGGCTGGGACTTGAAGAAGTCGTCGAGCGCCTTTCTGACCTGATCCTTTGTTTCGAACTTTTTTCCGTCCAGATAGCGCTGCAGGTGGCTGAACAGCCAGTAGTCAGAGAGCGAGGTCAGGGCTGTAGGGAGGGTGGCGACCATCAGCCATCCGTACTTCTCCAGCTCGGCCTGGGTCGCCTTTGCAGTGTGAGGTCGGGCGTTGTCATGGTGGAAGTAGATTTCCGCATTCCTTCCACGAGTACGGTCGACGTGATCTTTCAATTTCCGCAGCTGGGTCACGTATGTGAAGCGTCAATCGTTTGTCGCCTTCTCCAGCAGTCTCCCCTGTATTCGCATAGGCCTCTTCTGGACCACACACGAGAGAACAGGAGAACCTTTTCTGGGGTGAGGGTCGGCCTTTGGGGTGGCTTCTGGCTGTTCTCCTTTGTCGACCCACTGCCGCTTCCTCACAGGGTTATCGTAGAGGACCCACTTCTCATCTCCAGTGATCATCGAGTTGAGAAAGTGAAGCCTCTTTTGGAAAGTGAGGAGAGAAGTGCAGGGTTGGTCATTCCTCTCTCGAGAGGTATAGAGCGGACAGTTCATGTGGGACCCATCGACCAAGCTTTGCTACCTTGCCGAGCTTTTCTAGTCCACGTGCAACCGTCGAATGATCATAGCTAAGCATGGTCGCCACCCTCTCCTCTCTGGTGGTGAGAGTGTGGGTCCTCCTCCACGGTGGAACGTAGTACTTCCAAATCCAACTCCATCGGCCGACCCGACCTCGGAGCATCTTCGAGAGAAAAGTCTCCTTTCTTGAATTGGCGAAGGCCATCTCTTGATGTCTATGTAAGAATGACCGTCCTTCTACCGTATGATCCTCCACTTGGTATGGGCTTCCTCTTTGGCATTCGCTGCCCGAAATCTGGAGCAAAAACTGTCAAACAGTTGGCGCAGGTACGTTTTGTCACAGTGCAAATTGTGCGACATTGTGTACTGCAAATGCAAGCTCGGTGAGTGATAGCTAGTGTAATGAAAGAGTATAATGTACACGTCACGCACACGTGATGATGTAATACCAACATCCATGGTGCGAGACGAAAAATAGGATAGGATCATAGACCAGCGGTGTCGTAAAGAAACTTTATGGCGACCACCTAATAGTAATGAAGAATATGAAAGGGAGAGGTAATTATTTCGCAGCGTGCGCAGTAGTGCCTTGTGAAAACGGGGTAACGGAATGCTGGCGACGTTCGCAACAGTTGCGTGATCATCTTAACTTTCGGCGCAATGTCCCTGGTACGAAACCCTATGTACGACAGAAGTTGATAGAGGGAGTGTGATCTCCTGGATGTGGTGTAGTCTAACTGTAACATGCGGCTTCAGTTAGAGTGGTTTCAAGCGGATACGAGAATTGAAGGCAGGGATACAAAGTAAAAGGAGTGTTTAAAGTGAATGAATTCAAGTTGTCCGTTAGGCCGTGCGCTAATCTTTTAATATGCACCGAAATTACCAACTGTATTTCTTAACGATTTAGTTAATTTTTTATTTAGCTGTATCTTTCACTACTTAGCTTCAATATAAATGTATAAAGTTAATTATTATTATAAAGTATAAAGTTACTACTACTTTATACTAGTAGTTAGGTGGCTGTGGATCATTCTGCAATTTTGTGCGCGGTAGTCGAATATTCTGAGGTTCGTCATGGAAGTCCTGTAATGTAAGGCTGAAGACGTTTTATAATGATGAACGCGAAGGTGCAGGAAGTTCGAAGGCTTCGTCCATTTTGTCAGCGCTAAACCAAGAAGCTACCAAACTTTCATCGACCGTATGCTTCTCATGATTCTTGACGCTTCTTCTTAGATGTTTTGTCATCCTACCTGAGTAAGACTTCGTTGAACCTTTGTACTCGTCAGAATAATCAGACGAATTCATAAGACGTCAATTGAAAACGATTGTTCTGGCGGTGTACCCTTTTTAAGCGATTGCCCTAATAACAAAAGCCCACCAATGCGTTCAAATAGAGGGTAGACCTTTGAAAGTTTTCTTGCATTCAATTCAATTCATTGTTCCTGTCACTGAACTGCTTTGCGGCATGAATAAGCCACTAATTGTAGTTCAGGTGGCAAGTAGTGTCACTTTTGCCTGGATATAGGTTCATTTTCCTAGCCCTAATTTCTTCAGTCCTTAGAAGGCCTTTCTACTTGCTTCTACACAAGGGATCTTCTGCCTTTGCCTCGACTTCGGTGAGGGCCTTCTTGATGAACTCCATCCAGTTCTTCTTTGGGGTTCTTCCTAAGCGCTGAAGAGACTAGTGCGAGCGTTCAGTTCAAATTTCACCAGACGCTTGTACACAGGGCTCTCAGTGTTAATATCCTTTTTTTCGCAACCCTTCCTTGTCAATAAGTGATCCACCCCTGGTGCAGGACATGCCCAAGCTAAGCGCGTTTTCCCTTACCAAACTCCCAGAGCTCGAAGTTCGTTTTGGTGACATTTTTGTTACTTCTGCGCTTTTATAGACGAGTTACCAATTACAGTCATTGCAGATAACTTTCTAGTACGTGACGAACATCTAATGAAGGGTTCCGGTCTCCCCTAAGCTATCGTACAGTATCCTATCGCACCATCCTAGTTAAATGCAGGCACTTTTGCTTTCGAATTTTTGGCTGGATGTACCATAAGGGCACTTGGCCGAATGGTCGCGAAGCGGCTGCTGCGCTTCACGACCGCGGCATCAGCTGTTTCCAGCCTGGTTTGGCCATTTACTCCCTAATTTTCACTGTTTTTGGCTGCTTTTCTTAACTCGTTCCTTGTCTTCACAATGTAAATTATGCAAAACTTATGCAAAAATTGCGAGAACGCTTCACTACGAAAACAAAAAAAAGAATCCACGTTTTGATACACTTCATAGAGGCTATAGCACAACTTACTACAAGAAAAAAAAGAAAATACAGTGAAAATAGGGAGAAAATGGCTAAACCAGGCTGGAAACAGTTGATCGCCGCGGTCGTGACGAGCCGCAGCCGCGTCGCGACCCCTTGGCCGCCTAATCAACTGCCCGCATGACTACTGTAACTTTATAATGAGAATCAGCCGTTGGGGGGGGGGGTCCTTCTGTCGCTATCAAAAAAAAGACGCTGAGTCAGGAGACAACAAACAGAGCTACCTTATCGTTTCCTTTGGATACATCACGGAATTG